TGCCGCTTTTGATCAGTGTTGAGCATTCCTGAGGAATAACAGCAGGGTTGTGTTAGTGCACTTAAAAAGCATTTATAAAACCTGCGCTACTGCATTTCAGCTGTAGAATGACCCCGCCACAGCGTAAACACACACACACACACACAGAAAAATACACACACACACACACACAGAGAGAGAAAAATACACACACACACACACACACAGAAAAATACACACAAACATACACACATAGAGAGAGAGAGAAAAATACACACACACACAGAAAAAATACACACACACATATAGATATACACACACAAACAGATACACACAGTACGCTCACAAACACACAGATACACATGCACACAGTGAGAGAAAAATACACACACACACACACACAGAGAAAATACACACACACACATAGATATACACACACAAACAGATACACACACAAACAGATACACACAGTACGCTCACAAACACACAGATACACATGCACACAGTGAGAGAAAAATACACACACACACACAGAGAAAGAGAGCGTAAGATACAAAGACAAACACATGCATACTAACAGACACGCAAAGCAGGGCTCGAAATGACCCTTTTTGTGGGGTAGCTCCACTGCTCACACTTCAACTTCAAAGATTTACCCACACCAGCCAAACACTATGAGCAGCGCTAACAGTCTGATCCTGAGCTGCAACATTAGTTCACCCTCAGTGAATGCTCTTTGTGATGGTGGACACAGTGCAGTTGCTCGACGGACAGCATCGTGATGATTAATGAAGGATAAAATAACGATAGAACATGTTGTGCCTAAAATGTGAAGATGTGCCAAACGCTGTTTCCTGAAAACCCCCATCCCTCAGGCTTTACGGTCTGACAGCGGACTCTTCAAAATGAGTAAATGGAGGATTAACATTCAGCACTGATCACTGATCAGACGTGCCGTTATCTGTAACTTTAGGTGGTTTCTAAAACTCAATCTGTCCGTGTTATTGTCGTTCTCTCGTATCCAGACCTTTACTTTTTCACGGTTTCAGAGCTCCGTCATCTCAACTGAGTGATCGACAGCTGATATTAACCAATGCATTTGCACTCTGTTCCTGAGCAGTGGGCCAATCAGAAGAGCATGGAGGCGGGCGAGGGGGCGGGGCATTGCAGGATTTGTTTACTGCAGCAAGTTGACGTGTCCACTGTTTAAAACTATTCCTGAGCGCTGCGTTTGCCGTTTTTAGTGCAAAGGTGCATTCTGTGTGAATTCCTCCTAAATCAGTGCATACAGTGAACATTTTGCAGTGGAAACCAGTCGCACAGCAATAATCTTATGCACTCGCACAGATGCTCATATATATATTTTGAGCTTGCATAGATAAATATTTTACAGCAAATACAGACACAAGATGATCGAAATATCCCCATATCCTCAATAATATTTGAATTTTGCTGGTTTGAGTCTCGGCTGGGTCAGTTGCTGTTTCTGTGTGGAGTTTGCCTGTTCTCCCCGTGTTGGTGTGGGTTTCCTCCGGGTGCTCTGGTTTCCCCCACAGTCCAAACACATGCGCTATAGGGGAACTGATCAACTACACTGTCCATAGTGTATGAGTGTGTGTGTGTGTGTGTGAATGAGTGTGTATGGGTGTTTTCCAAAACTGGGTTGCTGCTGGAAGGGCATCCGCTGTTTAAAACATATGCTGGAATAGTTGTTGGTTCATTCCGCTGTGGCAACTTCTGATGAATAAATGAAGGAAAATGAATGAATGAATGAAATGACATATCAGGTCAGGTCAGGTCAGCGGAGTAAAATGATGATCATTCTCCATATGAATAAGCTCATTCTGTGGTGGAACCCTGCCGCTGTTCAGAGAAACACCAGTAGGTGGCGACACACACACAAACACACACACACACACACACACACTTATCTTCTGTGATCACTGTTGTGCAGATCTGGTATTACACTAACGGGATCTTCGAGGAGGCCGGCTTCGAGAAAACACTGATCCCCTACATCACACTGAGCACCGGCGGCATCGAGACACTGGCGGCCATCATATCAGTGAGTCTCACACACACACACACACACACACACACACACAGACCCCTGCACTCACATAAACACACATATGTACACAAAGCACAGAGAGACACACACTCATACACACTCAGGTAAACACACACACATGCACTCATACACTGCTCTCAGAGAGCATCATGGGAGTGTGGCGAGTCTCTGACACACACACACACACAAACACACACACACGTTCAGTCGTCTGCAGCTCTTGCCGCTCTTTCTGCTCAGTTCCCATGATGCTCTCTGATGCGGTGTGGCAGATCCGCCTTTGATTTCCCTTGAGGAGAAACACACCAGTCTGAACACACACACACACACACACACACTTCCCCGTCGCCCTGAACTCATTACAGAGCTCACACACACACACACACACACACACACATACACACACACAGATATAAACACCCAGACAAACAAACAAACAAAGGCATCTGTTCATCTGTGTGTGTGTGTGTGTGTGTGTGTGTGTGTGTGTGTGTGTGTGTGTGTGTGTGTGTGTGTGTGTGTGTGTGTGTGTGTGTGTGTGTGTGT